GGACATAGGTTGTCTCTTTATCTTTGCTCAATTTGCATATAGTACCTTGGTAAATTTATCTTCRACTGAATAGAAAAGCAAGGACGCTGTTGAGTCTGCAATAGAGCTGAAAGGAGGCTGCGGATGGCACTTGCAGGAGTGGAAGGTCAGCCTGACCAATATAGTGAGACTCCCATCTCAAAGAGGGGGTCTTCAGAGAAAGAGAAAATAAATGGTAAGGGTGCAGAGAAATGGGACCTTGAGTGTCCTGTTGATGTGACTATAGATTGATAGAGCCACCATGGAGAAAGAGTATGGARATTCCTAGAGATATTAAAAAGAGAGCTACCGTGTGACTCAGCAATCATCTTCTGGATATATACCTGAAGGAGGTAAAATCACTTCCTTTATATCTACCTACTGGTTTATCTATAATGTGAAATAGTATTCAGCCTTTAAAAAGAAGATCCTGGACAGGAGATATAGCTCAATTGATAGCGTGCTTGCCTCATATGCACAAGGCCCCAGAGTTCAATTCCCAGCAACACACACACACACACACACACACACACACACACACACACACACAATAAATAAAGAAGATCCTGCCATTCACAGCATCAATGAACTGGGAGGACATTATGTTAAGTGAAATAAGCCAGACACAGAAAGAAAATGACCGTATGATCTCACAGATAAGTGAAATTTTTTAAAAAAAGGAAAAAGCTCAAGCACACAGAGACAGAGAATGAAAGAGTGTTGCCATGTTCAGGGAGGGGTACTGCAGGAAGTGGACGACATATCTAAGAAGACAAAAGAGCAGACTGAAGAATGAACAAGTTCAGAGATCTGACATCCAACATGATGACTAAAGTTAATAAAATTGYGTCAGAGATCTTTGTTAAAGAAGTGGGTTTTAGCTGGGCATGGTGGTGCACTCCTGTAATCCCAGAGGCTTGGGAGGCTGAGACAGGAGGATGGCAAGTTCAAGACCAGCCTCAGCAACTTAACAAGATCCTGTCTCAAAATTAAAAGGCTGGAGATGTGGCTCAGTGGTTAAGATCCTCTAAGTTTAATCCCCAGTAAATAAATAAAATTTTATTGGAATACAGCTCTCCCCACACACTAGTATTCTTTACATAGGATTAGGTATCAGTAAGACCCACCTGCAAGGCTCATTCTTCATATTAAATGAGATGATTAATATAAAATTCAGAGCACACTCTGCCCACACTCCATACATTATTTATTTAAGTCTAATTTATAATTTAAATTCACATTACTGCAGACAGTCTCCTCACCATCCATCAGYCCCATCTCCTTCCTCCCCTGGATTCTACAGGATATCCAAGTTTATCATGRACACAATCCTTCTAGCTGAGACTGAGGCTGGCAGGGTCTCTCTGTGAAAAATAAATTGCCTGGGAGAAAGACCCACTGAAACTTTTCTAGCAGTTAGTGCGTCTGATCTAGTGGGGCTGGCAGGCTAATTGCAGGTTGTGGATAGAATGGAAAGAGAAGATGACAGCATTTCCAGGGGATAAATATCCTAGGAAGTCCTGACCATGAAAAAAGAGAGTGAATTCAGGTGCTAAATTGGGAGAAAGGCCAAAAACAATGGAGTAAAGATGCAAAAAAGAATGTACATCCGAGTACTCAAAAGTCCTGGTTATTACTACACCAATCTCTCTAAATCCATGTTTAGCAGTATCATCTTTGTATATCTCACTTTTCTACACTGCTTTCAGATGTTCTACCTCCCAAGTGTGTGCATGCACATAGTATACATGTATTTGCTTTATTTCATGGATGTTTTCTTACTTGTAGTTGTACTGTTCCATGAAAAACTTCTGTCATCTGTTTTAYTTTTTATACTAATTTCAAGTTCTCCACTTTGGTAATAGAWTTTTTYWAATTACTTYATTTATTTTTAAATTTCCTGGTGCCAGGGATGGAACCCAGGTCTTGCATGTGCTAGGCAAGYAGTGTGTYACACTCCCAGCCCAACYRGCTTTTGTAACCAGGGCTTCTGCCTCTTTGTTATGAGGCCCGTCTTTGCAGTCATCTGTACCACCTGGGCCTGGGAATATACAATTACAAGAATTTCCTCCCCAAGAAAGTTCTGACCAAGGGCCTCTCCCCAGGTTTGCACATGGGAAGCAGAGGGCCAGGCCATGTGCAGCAGGGACTCAAAACAAATTGAAATGCACAAACAGGTTTGCATGGCTGGGCCACACAAAGCCCATGCAGCCACTCCTTTCACTCTGACCTTGGAAAACACACACACTAACCACCAGRAGCAACCTCTGCTTACCAGGAGAGAAGGAAAGAGGAGTTCAACTGTGCAAATCAGATATAAGGATTTTATGCTTCTCCAGCTCAACGTCTGGGGAGTCTTTCTAGGGTGCTTTCTACTGTTTGTATGACTAAGTATGTGGTTCAGAAGAGCTCCTAAGGTTTTTGAAAACGTCAGCCTGCTCTGACTTCTGGCAGGGCAGCTGCTCGAACACACTGCSTTTATAGACGTGCCAGGTCTCGATTCTTTTGAAGTGGTGGCGTTTGCAGCCCATTGTTAAATAAGGCTCTGCTTCCCGTCTGGCAGAGCAAGCCCCCTGTCTGTCTTCCTTGGGGACCCAACAGGAAACGCAGSCCTGTGGTCCCCAGAGGAAGCAGGCCCAGGATCTGAGCTCCAATTGTACAAAGCAGATGAGCCATTGAGGTGGGAGGGAAAAGAAGTGTTTTCCTCTAAATGAAGAGCCCCTGCAAACAAAAAGGACACCTTCACATTGGTTGGTTGAAAAGAATTGAAACAGGATGCCGTCTTGCAGGCCTGTTATTTCAGTTACTTGGAAGTCTGAGGCAAGAGGTTCATAAACTGAGGTCAGCCTGAGCAACTTAGTAAGACCCTGTCTTAAAATAAAAYAAACACACAGGGCAGGGGAGATGGCTGTTTTGGTCAGCCTTTTTTTGCTGCTGAAAGACCTGACCAGAACAACTGTAGAATAGGATAGGTTTATTTAGGGGCTCACAGTTACAGAGGTCTCAGTCCAAAAGTGGCTGGCTCCATTCCTTGGGSATCAAGTTGAGGCAGGACATCATGGTGAAAGAGTGTGGCAAAGGGCAGTCGCTCACATGATGATCAGAAAACAGAGAGAAACTCCACTCTCCAGATAGAAACTATATACCCTGTAGCCTTGCCCCCAGTGAACCACTTCCTCCAGCCACACCCCACCTGCCTCTGGTTACCACTCAGTTAATCCCATCAGGGAATAATTCACTGATTAGGTTAAGGATATAACCCAATAATTTCTCCTCCRAACCTTCTTGCACTGTCCGCACATGAGCTTTTGGGGGACACTACATCTAAACCATACAGTGGCTAAGTGGTATATGACAGAGCTGGTGGCTTTTTCTTTCTTTCTTACATTCTTTCCTTCTCTTTTTCTGTGCTGGAATGGAACACYCAGGGCCTCACACTTGCTAGGCAAGTGTTTTACTGCCTTTTATTTATTTATTTATTTTTCTTAATAAAAGCCACAATCTAGAGGGAACTCTTTTATACATCCTTAAATAATTTAAGAGGAAAACAGCTTTATTCTGTTTGCTATCATTAGTATGCTATAATTTTTAAAAATTTGTTTTTGGTTGTTGATAGACTTTTTAAATTTTCTTTTATTTATTTATTTTTTAAATGTTTATTTTTTAGTTTTAGTTGGACACAATACCTTTATTTTTTTCGTATATTTTTCTGTGGTGCTGAGGATCTAACCGAGGGTCTCGCTGTACAAGGGTCTCGCTCTACCGCAGAGCCACAACCTCAGCCTCCAAATTTTATTTATTTATATGCAGTGCTGAGAATCGAACCCAGTGCCTTGCACATGCCAAGCAAGTGAGCTACCGCTGAGCYCTAGCCCCAGCCCCATAGTATGCTATAATTTTAAAAACTAGTTTTCTCTTATTTTTTATTCAAAATTATTTTAACTGGCACATAAAATATAAACATTGTACATATTAATGGGATATCATGTAATGTTTTGATACATGTATATGCATTGCATTAATGTTTAAATCCAGTTAACCATGTCTATCACCTCAAATATTTATCATTTCTTTATAGTGCAAACTTTCAAAATCCTTTCTTCTTGTTTTTGAAATGTACAGGTCATCACTCTACTGTGCAATGGTACATCAGAACTTCTTGCTCCTATCTTCAATATAACTTAGGATCATTGGTCAGTCTCTCCTCATCTGACCCTTACTATCCCTGGCCTCTGGTAATCACCATTCTGCTGTTTCTTAAAGAATTATCTTAATGAAATTCACCACCACCCYCACTTCTGGCCCCCAATACACACACTGGGAACCCAGCCCAGTGGCACTCTATCACTGAACTGCATCCCCAGCTCTTTTTTATTTTGACAAGGTTTTGTTTAATTGCTGAGGCTAGCCTCAAACGAGATCCTCCTGCCTCAGCCTCCCAAGTAGCTGGAATTACAGGAGTGCAACTTTGGGCTTGGCTTTCTGAATTTTAAAGGAAAATCCTACCTCCGTGGGGTTGTTCCAATTGGGGAGAGTGACTGCACAAAAGACTGTTTTAACCACATCGTTACTTGAGAGAGATGCTTTTTATAGACATGAGCCACAGTTGATGCATACATGCGTGGGGCCTCAAAGGCATCAATATCAGAATCTCAGAGTCCAAACAGCGGCTGTCTGTCTCCCGAGGCACAGTTTTCTAGCAAGACCAGCCAAGACGCCTTGGTAGATTTGAGGCTGTAAATTCTGGAGAATTAAACCACGGGGAAGGGCTGGGGAAGGGGAAAAGCTGACGTCCCCTGTCTCTGGTTCTTCTCCCCTGCCCCTCCTCCTGCAGATCAAGCCTCACCCTCGTGAGTCCTCGTGGTCTTTGCAGAGGGCGCACAGCCCCCACCAACCCTGGCGCCTTTTCTGCAAGCACCGGGGGTTAAGTGGGGGAGAGGCCCAGGGCGCATGATGTCCCCCTCCCTCAGCCCTCCCGGCACATGACCTAGGCCGGCCAGCAGGGTCCAGGCAGACCCGAGCCGCATCCCGGAGCTGGCCCATGGCCTCCCCGCGCTTGGGGACCTTCTGTTGTCCCACTCGGGACGCTGCCACGCAACTCGTGCTGAGCTTCCAGCCGCGGGCGTTCCATGCGGTGTGCCTGGGCAGCGGCGCGCTCCGCCTGGTGCTGGGCCTCCTGCAGATGCTGCCCCGGCGCCCACCCGCCGCTCCCGGGGCCCCTTCCACCTCCCCGCCTGCCTCGGCCCGCATCCTGAGGGCCGCTGCTGCTTGCGACGTCCTCGGCTGCCTAGGTAAGGGCGCGGCCCACCGCTGGGACACACTTAGTGCTGGGTGGAGGGTGCGCGGTGGCCCCGCGACGGAGATCTGCTCCGTGTCCGGCCGGTGCCAGGGCTCGCGCGTCTGAGCGCTTCTAGCACCAAGTCGGGAGCTGGAGCCTTTTCATTCCAGGAACTACTCTGGACGACTAGGGGATTCTGCAAAGCAAGAGGGAAAAGTTCAGGTCCAAGGATCATTGCTTGAATTTTGAAAAGCGTTCATTGTGTTTGTTATTGCGAACTTATTAGAAAAACCTCGGACAGGGTTGTAAAGGAAAGTCTAGAAAATAAGGGTGCATCCAGCAGAGACCATGGGTAGGCGTGCGCACCTTGCTATTTTGTACCTACTTTGTACCACATCTTCTTTTGTGCGTTATTTTTTTTACCTGAACCCTTCCTTTTGCAGTGCTGGGATGAACCAAGAGCCTCAGGCAGGCCCTACCACTGTGCAACACCCTTGGGCTGCCCCAGGTTTGATTTTTACCCAGGTGTGCCAAGTGTAGGCTGCAGAGCAAACCCCTTCTGCTGAGCGTTTTGTGTAACTCTTCTTCCCCCACCAAGGATCGGTTTTACATTTCAAAATGATTTTTTAAATCAAAGCAGATTTGCTGACATGTGAATATACATGAATTTAAATGTTAGTGTCCATAAATAAAGTTTTACAGAACACGGCTAGGCTCTGCATTTCACCTCATCTAGGACCAGATCTGCTCTACTAGAACACGGTGGAATATTGGGCAGAGAAAGTATCACCACAAAGCCAAAGATGTTTACTATCAGCCCTCAAAGGAACAATTTTGCCAAATTCTGCTTTAAACATGACACATTTTATAGAATCTGCTTTAAACTATAGCATGACACATTTTATAGAACTCTAAAGTTGGGTTTTGCCATTTTGTTTAACTTTTTGTTGGAAAGTTCCCAACATACATCAATGTAGATATGACATATAAACAACCACCATGGATCCTCACGTACTCTCCACCAACTCCCTGTACTTGCCCTTCTCCCTCCTTACTGGCTTAATTTGAACCACATTTCAAACTTCATGTCATTTCATCCATTCAGATTTGAGTATAGAGCACTAAAACATAAGAACTCTATTTATTTGTTTATTTTTGTGGTCCTGGGGATTAAACTCAGGGCCTTGCACATGCTAAGCAAATGCTGTATTCCTGAGCTACATCCCTAGCCTTTCCCTCTCTACTTTTAAAAACTTTTTTCAAGAAATACAAAGCAATTCTACTGGCAATTCCTTTATGGTCTTATTTAGTAACTTTTTCTTAGTTTTCACTTAAAAAGCTTCTCTCTCTCTCTCTCTCTCTCTCTCTCTCTCTCTCTCTCTCTCTCTCATTTGGTTCACAAAAAGAGTCCTTTATTTCTGGGAGGTAATTTTGGGTCCCAGCATTCCTAGCATCATCTCCTCTCTAATCCACTGTCAAGGGAGGGCTACCAGAGTGTGGGTTTCAGCACAGCCCTGATTAGATGAGAAGCCGCAAGAGTAAAAATGCTGCTAGGGTTGGGCATAGTGACCCTTGCCTATAATCCCAGCAACTGGGGAGGCTGAAGCTGAATAACCACAAATTTGAGGCCAGCCTGAGCAATTAGTGAGAACTTGTCTCAAAATCAAAAGGACTGGGGATGTAGCTCAGTGGTAGGTTGCCCCTAAATTTAATCTTCAATCCTTAGTACCACCAAAAAACAAAACTAAATGCTGATTGGGGTTTTTAAAACAGGTTGCTGGTATAGCAGTGCATGCCTGGGAGACTGAGACAGGAGACTTGGAAATTTAAGGCCAGCCTGAACAATTTAGCAAGGTCTGTCTCATACAAATAAACAAAATCCAGCCCTTTTAAAAAATGTTATTTGATATAGAGTCTCGATAAGTTGCCCAGGCTGACCTCAAATTTGTGATCCTTCTGCCTCAAACCCCTGAGTCACTGAGATTACTGGTGTGTATTACTGGGCTCAGCTAAACATAAGAATTTTAAGCATATTTAACCCTGGTGTTATTATCAATTTAAAATAATTAAAAGCAATTTCTTAATGTTGCCAGTGTTTGTTCAGTTGTCCCATAAATGTTATTTTATAGTGGGTTTGTTCAAGTAAACACTCAAATTCTGCCCACACATTGTAATTACTTGATGGTGTTGACCTTGTTGGAACTTTTTTTTTTTTTTTTTTGTAATGTTTATCTTGAGGCAAAGCCTATGAAGCCTGTATTAACTGCCTGGTGTACCCTACTTTGAGCTGGTACCTGGACACAGGTGTTGTGTATCCCAGGACCCATTTGTGTTCTGTCCTTTTGCCCAGAGTGACAAAAACATGATTGAAGACTCTCCAAACCTTGACTTTAAATAAATATTATGTAACCTCAAGTCATTTTCTCAGACTTGAAGAATAAGACAGGAAAGGAATTTTTCCTTTCTATTAGGGATAACATCATTTTGGTGCAGGATTATTCAATGAAACATTTGTTTTCTTCCTGATTCCACTAAGTCATTTTTTTAGGAAGAGATCTTAATAGTAGTTTATTTCTGTTACTTGAATATCTGGAAATAAAGATATAACCAAATATATTTTCAGAGTTGGTGGAAGAACACCGTGTCCTTTAAAGAGGGAGGTGGAAGATGTTGTAGGAAAATGAGCAGAAGTTAGGAGAAGGCCAGGTGACTGTGCTCCTCTGAAAATGAGTAAAACGAGTGCCTACCTCATAGGGCTTACACTGAGCTCAAAGCACTAAATTATAAAGCACTATACAGAAAAGGTGTTTTTTTGTTTGTTTGGTTTTTGTTGTTGTTAGCAGTGGCTAGATAGTGGGAAGGTGTATGTTAAGCTTTCTAGTGTTCATAGATCTCCTTTAATAGCATAATAAATAGCACATGTATGCTTYGTTGTGTTACAAGTACCTATGTATTCAGTGGTGTACTAGTAGGCTTTTCATTGCTATGATCAAAAGACCTGACAAGAACAGCTTAAGAGGAGGAAAAGTTTATTTGGGGGCTCATGGTTTCAGAGGTCTTAGTCCATAGATGGCTGACCCCATTCTTTGGGGCCTGAGGTGAGACATCAGGAGGTGAGACCATCATCATGGCAGAAGAGTATGGCAGAGGAAGGCTGCTCAGGACTTGGCACCAGGAAGGAGAAAGAGAGAGATAGACTTCCTTCATCACAGACAAAATAGAAACCCCAAAGGCACACCCCAGTGATCCACCTCCTCCAGTCACACCCTACCTGCCTACAGTCACCACCCAGGTCATCCATATCAGGGGATTAATGCCCTGATTAGGTTAAGGCTCTTATAACCTAATCATTCCACCTTTACACTTTCTTATACTCTCTCACACATGAGTTTTGTGGGATACTTCATACCTAAATCATAACAGGATACATTTAAACAAAGGGCATTGCATTACTTTGCAAAAGAGATGTAAYGTATACCATAAGTGTGTGTGTGCTAATCGAAGAATGTTAAATATTTGAGCCTACTAGCAAGGAAAACTCACAGATAATAAATGTCCAAAGCAAAGTACTGAGATCTAATTTTTGAAAATTTTACATGTAGTTTTCAAAAGAATGAAGGAACTATACATTTAAGCTTCAGAACTGTGCTTTGTAAATAATTCTCTATGTAAGGAATAATTGACATGAACATTAAAAATATAGCTAAGAAATACAGATTGCTATTTACATAAACACTTTGTAATGCCAAGTCAACAAGCAAACAAAAAATTGGAGGACAAGCTTGTGGCTGATGTTGCTTTCAATTGAAATGGAAGTGCCTGGGATCGCTTTGCCAATATAAGATGGGTTTTCTGAATAACAGTTCTTCTTCCTTCCCCTTCCCATTCCTCCTCCTCCTCCTCCTCTTCATTTTCTCCTCCTCCTTCTCCTCCCTTTTTTCTGAACACGTGAACGTGTTTTTCCCTCTCTCCCTCCATCCTTCCTTCTTTTCTCTCCCTTTCTCCCTTCTTTCCTTTCTTTCTCCTCCTTCTCTCCTTCCCTTCCTCTTTCCTACTCACTCTCTTGCTCTCTTCCTGTTTCTCTCATTTGTATTACTAGCTGTCATTTTTACAAAGTAACAAGTCAGCTTTAGATGTGAATTAGAGTCAGATGCCTTAGAGTCATCTACTTCTCTCTTTTTTTAATATTTATTTTTTAGTTGTAGTTGGACACAAGACCTTTATTTTATTTGTATATTTTCATGTGGTGCTGAGGATCGAACTCAGGGCCTCGCACGAGCTAGAGGAGCGCTCTGCCGCTAAGCCACAGACCCTGATCTACTTCTCTATTAGGGATCATCCTTCGGTCGGCAGTGTGGCTGGGATTCCCAGATTTCGTTGAAAACATCTCTGATGGCAATGGAACAGACATCTGGCCTGCTGCTTTCTGTGTTGGGAGCGCGGTAAGTGCCCCCTCTCTGCGTGCTCTCCTCCCCACCTCTGTGCCTGTTGCGCTGTGGTCCCCAAAGTGAGCAGCAGCAACCTCTGGGAGCCTGTGAGGAATGCAGATTCTCAGGCTGTGCACCAATCTACAGATGAGGAAGCCTGGGGTGGGGCCTGGCCAGCGCTGAATTGTCACAAACTCTCCAGGGCTTATATCCATAAATCATTAAATGAATAAGTAGACCACACACACACACACACACACACACACACACACACACAAAATACACTATGCTCGGTGCACCTCATTTTATTGGTGCTCACGAGAAGGGCTTAAATTGTGCAAATGTAGATGTTGAATCACTGGGTCTGCAGCAGAATTCCCAGTTCTTTTTTTTTCTTTTCTTCCCTGCCTTCCGGGGCTTCCTAAGTGCACCTCCATGAGGCCTCCTCTCAGCCCACAGCAGGGAGGCGCAGACCTCTCTGCTGCAATTAATACCTCCAGCCTCTTCCTCACCCCTTCTCCTCCAAGGGACTTTCCAAGTGCCACGTGCCCACAAAGAGCTTCTACTTCAAAGCCCCCATTGATCTTTCATGCCTCCAAGCATACCAAATGCGAGGTGGGGTGGGGCTTTAGTCRGATCCTGCTAAGCAGAGCACAGATGCACAAGTCCTTCTTGGGCCACAGCCCACCCCTGTCCTAGAGACTGTCTACATGTGTCCCTGAGCTCACGTGGGCTTCTCCTTGATGTCAGAAGAAGCCCACATCTGCCATCTCATTTCACGGAGGGACTGGAGGCCTCGTGTGTTTCCAGAATCTTTGATGCTGGGTTCTTGCTGTTTACAGATGTGGATCCAGCTGTTGTACAGTGCCTGTTTTTGGTGGCTCTTCTGCTACGCGGTTGACGCCTATCTTGTGATAAGGAGATCGGCAGGACTGAGGTATTCACTGGGCCCAGAGGTCTGCCTGGTTGTGTTTTATGAGCAATATTAGGAGATGCCATTGAGTATTCAAAGGTGGGTTGCAGAGTGGCAGACACTGTCTGTCAGTCTGGCAGCTGGCTCCCCCACCYAGAAACATCTATGGTGGCTCATTCTCAGGCCAGAAGCCAATTCAAAATATTGAAGTTTTCAGGGCTGGGAACGTGGCTTAATGGTAGAGTGCTTGCCTAACATGTACTCATGGTTCAGTCCCCAGAAATGCAAAAAACAAACAAAAAACCACCTAAAATGCTGAGGTTTTTAAAGTCTTGACAATAAGTAACTCAAGAAATTAAATATTTGAGGGATAGAGGAGGGGATGATTGATGGTAGATCACACTCTTGTGCAAGGCCCTGGGTTTAATCCCCAGCACCAAAAGAAAACAAAAACAAAAAAGAAATTAAATATTTGGAACTGGATGCATTAAAAATGAAGAGAAAGAAAAAACTGGTATGACTATAAACAAGTTGTGTGGGGGGAGGTACTGGATATTGAACCAGGGGATTTCTACTGAGCTATACCCTCAGCCTATTTATTTTGAGATAGGGTCTTGCTAAGTTTCTTAAAATTCCCAGGCTAGCCTTGAACTTGCCTTCCTCCTGCCTCCCCAAGAGGCAGGGATTATAGGTGTGTGTCTCTGTGCCCTGCTGAATTTAGACAAATTTTTAAAATTTTCTTTTAGTTTTGTTTTGGTACTGGGAATTAAACACAGGAGTGCTTTACCACTGAACTATATCCTCAGCCATTTTTACATTTTGAGATAGGGTCTTGCTGAGTTATTTAGGACCTCATTAAGTTGCTTAGGGCCTAAATTACTGAAGCTGGCCTTGAACTTGTGATCTTCCTGCTTCAGCCTCCCGAGTTGCTGGGATTACAGCAGTGTGCCACTGTGCCCAGGTATGACAGTTTTTCACTACACATCAAAGACTGTATGAAGAACTACTTCTGTATATATTGACATCTTATATTAAAAGTGGAACAGATGAGGGCTGGGGCTGGAGGTGTTTGTCTGGCAAGGACTCACACAGAGGTTGGTGCCTTGGGCATAAGTAGGTTTGAGCTCCTGCTCAGGCACTCACTGTGTAACTGGTACCCACTCACTGTGTAACTGGTACCCACTGCATTACACATGTAAATGGGTTAGAATAGAGCCTGGCACATGGTGGGAGCTCAGTGGGTCTGAGCTGTTACTGTCATTGGGATGTTGACCATACAGCAACATCCAGAACCTAATTGACTAAGAGACGTTGGATGTGGCCAAGTGGGGCAAGTGTCCAGGTCTCCTAGCTCTTAAGTCCAGGAGACATTTATTCCCTCCCCCGCCCAGTTCCTGGTCTGTTTCAATCAGAAAGTCCTTGCTTGCTTTTGCTTTTTGTCTTTTTTAAAAATGGGTTTATAAAGTTACATGTTTTTAAAAATATTTTTTAGTTGTCAATGGACCTTTATTTATTTGTTTGTTTATTTATTTATATGCGATGCTGAGAATAGAACCCAGTGCCTCACACATTCTAGGCAAGTGCTGTGCCACTGAACTACAACCCCAGCCCCTAAAGCCACACATTTAACAGTAAAATCAAGTAGTTTCAGTATGTCGATAGATTTTTTTTTTTTTTTTTAGTAATACTGGGGATTGAAACCAGAGGTGCTCTACCACTTAGCTATATACTCCAACCCTATTTTATTATTTTGAGACAGGGTCTCACCAAGTTGTCCAGGCTGGCATTAAACTTGTGATTCCCCTGCCTCAGCCTCCAGAATAGCTGGGATCACAGTTGTATACCACTGGGCAYCATTGATATCATCCACTTTACAACTTTGTAATCATCTCCCCCAATCCCTGTACCAGTTATTAGTCATTCCCCAATCTCTCCCCACCTTCCTCCACCCTGGCAACCAAAATTTTTAGACTCTATGGRTATGCCTATTCTGGCCATTGTAGATCAATGAAATAATGCAATATAGGACATTTCCTATATGATCTCTTAAGTTCAGCATAACATATTGAAGGTTTATCTATGTTGTAGTTTGTATTAGTACTTCATTCCTGTTGTGGTCTGAGTGCTTATGTCCTCCCCATCCAACAAGTTTTATTTTGAAATTCTCA